TAGACAGGGATGTGTACTATCACCATAGACAGAGATGTGTACTATCACCGTAGACAGTGATGTGTACTATCACCATAGACAGGGATGTGTACTATCACTATAGACAGGGATGTGTACTATCACCATAGACAGGGTTGTGTACTATCAATATAGACAGGGATGTGTACTATCACTATAGACAGAGATGTGTACTATCACCATAGACAGAGATGTGTACTATCACCATAGACAGAGATGTGTACTATCACTATAGACAGGGATGCGTACTATCACCATAGACAGAGATGTATACTATCACCATAGACAGAGATGTGTACTATCACTATAGACAGGGATGTGTACTAACACCATAGACAGAGATGTGTACTATCACCACAGACAGGGATGTGTACTATCACCATAGACAGGGATGTGTACTTACACCATTGACAGAGATATGTACTATCACCATAGACAGGGATGTGTACTATCACCATAGACAGAGATGTGTACTATCAACATAGACAGAGATGTCCTATCACCATAGACAGAGATGTGTACTATCACCATAGACAGAGATGTGTACTATCACCATAGACAGAGATGTGTACTAACACCATAGACGGGGATGTGTACTATCACCATAGACAGGGATGTGTACTAACACCATAGACAGAGATGTGTACTAACACCATAGACATGGATGTGTACTATCACCATATACAGAGATGTGTACTATTACCATAGACAGTGATGTGTACCATCACCATAGACAAGGATGTGTACTATCACCATAGACAGAGATGTGTACTATCACTTGATTTTTTCAATTTATACAGTTAAATAACAATCAAATCCTGTTAGGGATCAATCCCATGAATAGCGGTTGGTGGGATTCTAATTAACAACTTCCGATATGTTGACGATACAGTTTTAATCGAAACAATGAAACACAACTGGACAGATGACTGGACATCATTGTTACAGAAAGTCGCAACAAATGTCTGAGTTCCAACAATATTAAACATTAGAAATAGTGGGTATGGAAGATATCTGTGTCAGAATTGAGTAAACGTTCAAGAGACTACCAGATGGTATGGAAGATATCTGTGTCAGAATTGAGTAAACGTTCAAGAGACTACCAGATGGCATGCAAGATATCTGTGTCAGAATTGAGTAAACGTTCAAGAGACTACCAGATGTTATGGAAGATATCTGTGTCAGAATTGAGTAAACATTCAAGAGACTACCAGATGGCATGCACGATATCTGTGTCAGAATTGAGTAAACATTCAAGAGACTACCAGATGGTATGGAAGATATCTGTGTCAGAATTGAGTAACATTCAAGACACTACCAGATGGCATGCAAGATATCTGTGTCAGAATTGAGTAAACATTCAAGAGACTACCAGATGGTATGGAAGATATCTGTGTCAGAATTGAGTAAACATTCAAGAGACTACCAGATGGCATGGATATATCTGTGTCAAAATTGAGTAAACGTTTAAGTGACTACCAATGCCAGATGGCAACAACTATAAGAAGAAAATAGATCTTGGGTTGTGACCAGTGCTGCCTGCTTGTAGGAGAACCACAATCAGATAATCAGACAACATTTACTCAACCAATAGCAAGACACGCAGAAAGGAAAATAAACACAGGGTTGCTTCAATTAAATGTCTAGTCGTTGACCTAGACAATCAATCATTCATGGCATCACACACATGTCCAGAAGTGGACATGGACAATCAATCATTTATGGCATCACACAAATGTCCAGAAGTGGACATGGACAATCAATCATTTATGGCATCACACAAATGTCCAGAAGTGGACATGGACAATCAATCATTCATGGCATCACACAAATGTCCAGAAGTGGACATGGACAATCAATCATTCATGGCATCACACAAATGTCCAGAAGTGGACATGGACAATCAATCATTCATGGCAACACACAAATGTCCAGAAGTGGACATGGACAATCAATCATTCATGGCATCACACAAATGTCCAGAAGTGGACATGGACAATCAATCATTCATGGCATCACACCATAGACAAATGTCCAGAAGTGGATGATCATTCATGGCATCAAAAAAATGTCTAGTCATGGACATGGACAAAAAAATCTTTTATGGCATCACACAAATGTCCAATCACTGACATGGTTAATCAATCATTTATGGCAACAGACAAATGTCCAATCATGGACACAGACGATCAGTCAGGGCATCACACAAATGTCTAATCATGGACAGGGACAATCAGTCAGGGCATTACACAAATGTTCAATTATGGACATGGACAATCAGTCAGGGCATCACACAAATGTTCAATCATGGACATGGACAATCAGTCAGGGCATCACACAAATGTTCAATAATGGACATGGACAATCAGTCAGGGCATCACACAAATGTTCAATCATGGACACAGACGATCAGTCAGGGCATCACACAAATGTCTAATCATGGACACAGACAATCAGTCAGGGCATCACACAAATGTTCAATCATGGACACAGACGATCAGTCAGGGCATCACACAAATGTCTAATCATGGACACAGACAATCAGTCAGGGCATAACACAAATGTTCAATCATGGACATGGACAATCAGTCAGGGCATCACACAAATGTTCAATCATGGACACAGACGATCAGTCAGGGCATCACACAAATGTCTAATCATGGACACAGATGATCAGTCAGGGCATCACACAAATGTCTAATCATGGACACAGACGATCAGTCAGGGCATCACACAAATGTCTAATCATGGACACAGACGATCAGTCAGGGCATCACACAAATGTTCAATCATGGACACAGACGATCAGTCAGGGCATCACACAAATGTCTAATCATGGACACGGACGATCATTCAGGGCATCACACAAATGTTCAATCATGGACACAGACGATCAGTCAGGGCATCACACAAATGTTCAATCATGGACACAGACGATCAGACAGGGCATCACACAAATGTTCAATCCTTGACATGGACGATCAGTCAGGGCATCACACAAATGTCTAATCATGGACAGGGGCGATCAGTCAGGGCATCACACAAATGTCTAATCCTGGACAGGGGCGATCAGTCAGGGCATCACACAAATGTCTAATCATGGAGACAGACGATCAGTCAGGGAATCACACAAATGTCTAATACTGGACAGGGGCGATCAGTCAGGGCATCACACAAATGTCTAATCATGGAGACAGACGATCAGTCAGGGCATCACACAAATGTCTAATCATGGACACAGATGATCAGTCAGGGCATCACACAAATGTTCAATCATGGACATGGACAATCAGTCAGGGCATCACACAAATGTCTAATCATGGAAACAGACGATCAGTCAGGGCATCACACAAATGTTCAATCATGGACATGGACAATCAGTCAGGGCATCACACAAGTGTTCAATCATGGACATGGACAATCAGTCAGGGCATCACACAAATGTTCAATAATGGACATGGACAATCAGTCAGGGCATCACACAAATGTTCAATCATGGACATGGACGATCAGTCAGGGCATCACACAAATGTTCAATCATGGACATGGACAATCAGTCAGGGCATCACACAAATGTCTAATCATGGAAACAGACGATCAGTCAGGGCATCACACAAATGTTCAATCATGGACATGGACAATCAGTCAGGGCATCACACAAATGTCTAATTATGGACAGGGACGATCAGTCAGGGCATCACACAAATGTCTAATCCTGGACAGGGACGATCAGTCAGGGCATCACACAAATGTTCAATCATGGCCATGGATGATCAGTCAGGGCATCACACAAATGTTCAATTATGGACATGGATGATCAGTCAGGGCATCACACAAATGTTCAATCATGGCCATGGATGATCAGTCAGGGCATCACACAAATGTCTAATCATGGACACGGACAATCAGTCAGGGCATCACACAAATGTTCAATCATGGCCATGGATGATCAGTCAGGGCATCACACAAATGTTCAATCATGCACATGGATGAACAGTCAGGGCATCACACAAATGTTCAATCATGGACATGGACGAACAGTCAGGGCATCATACAAAAGTGCAATCACAAACAAGGACAATTAATTTTGTCATCACATGCAAGTGCAGTCTTGGACACAGCGGATCAGTCTTCTTATTTCTCCACCAAGTGCTACATGCATGTGTGTGTGCATGTGTATGAGTCTACGTATGTGGTGTGTGTGTATGTGTGTACATGTGTATGTATGTGTGTGTATATGTGTGAATGTGTGTGTGTACGTGTGTGTAGGTGTGTGAATGTGTGTGTATGAGTGTTTATGTGTGTGCATGTGTCTGTATTTGTGTCTATGTGTGTATGTGTGTGTATGTGTGTATGTGTGTGTGAATGTGTGTATATGTGTGTGTATGTGTGTCTATGTGTGTTTATGTGTATGTGTATGTGTGTTTGTGTGTACATATGTGTGTATGTGTACGTGTGTATGTATGTGAATGTATGTGTGTACATGTGTGTTTGTGTGTGTGTGTGAATGTGTGTGCATGTGTGCATGTGTGTGAATATGTGTGTGTATGTGTGTATGTGTGTCTGTGTGTGTGTTTGTGTGTGCATGTTTGTGTATGTGTGTGTATGTGTGTATATGTGTGTGTATGTGTATGTATGTGTGTGTATGTGTGTGTGTGTGTGAATGTTTGTATTTGTGTTTATGTGTGTGTGTTTATGTGTATGTGTGGGTGTATATGTGTGTGTATGTGTGTCTATGTGTGTTTATGTGTATGTGTGGGTGTATATGTGTGTGTATGTGTGTCTATGTGTGTTTATGTGTATGTGTGGGTGTATATGTGTGTGAATGTGTGTATGTGGGTATAAGTTTGCCACATGTTTTATATGACCTTGATTGATCTACCATATGTTTGTTACATCACACAGACACACACTGTTCCTGACTAAGACCATGCTGCTGTCAGGCCTCCCCTTTCTCCCACTGGTGCCGGCAGAGACTGATGTTATCTGGGTGTGAAGGTGGAGTTGCAGCCTTCCTTGGGGCTTGGAGCTAGAGGCAGCCTCTCATCATACAGTGTGGGAGCCTGGAGAATGATGCCGAACGTTCCTACCACACAGGCCGTTGTAAAGATCCACAGGAACAGCCGGTCCAGCACCATGGCCACATACTTCCAGTCTTCCATCACCTGGAACGTGGACAGAAACCACAAAATCAATCACTTCCACGTACATACAATGATATTATTACAAGGGATTACAAGATCAGACAGTACACCACAATACAGAACTTACAAAACACATACACATACATAGAAAAGTCTTCTCGCCACAAAAATATCTCAGTCATCTGTCATTTCCATATTCACTATCTCAGAGATCAGTCATCTCACCATACACATCTCCTAAAGATTAGTTATATCAATACACAAATCTCTGAGAGATTAGTCATTTTGCCATAGAAATCTCTCAGAGATCATTCATCTCATCACGCAAATCTCTTAGGGATCAGTTATTTCACCACGCAAATCACTCAGAGTTCAGTCATTTCCCCACACAAATCTCTCAGAGATCAGTCATCCCATCACACAAATCTCTCAGAGATCACTCATTTCACCACACAAATCACTCAGAGATCAGTCATCACATCACACAAATCTCTCAGAGATCAGTCATCTTCATCACACAAATCTCTCAGAGATCAGTCATCTCATCACACAAATCTCTCAGAGATCAGTCATCTCATCACACAAATCTCTCAGAGATCAGTCATCTCAACACACAAATCTCTCAGAGATCAGTCATCTCATCACACAAATCTCTCAGAGATCAGTCATCTCATCACTCAATTCTCTCAGGGATCAGTCATTTTACCACACGAATCTCCCAGAGATCAGTCATCTCATCACACAAATCTCTCAAAGATCAGTCATCTCATCACACAAATCTCTCAGAGATCAGTCAACTCATCACCATCTCATCACTCAAATCTCTCAGGGATCAGTGTCATTTCACCACACAAATCACTCAGAGTTCAGTCATTTCACCACTCAAATCTCTCAGAGATCACTCATTTCACCACACGAATCTCTTAGAGATCAGTCATCTCATCACACAAATCTTTTAGAGTTCAGTAATCCCATCACACAAATTAGTCCTCACCACAGACATTTCCCCAGAGATTGGTCCTTACCACAGACATTTCCCCAGAGATTGGTCCTCACCACAGACATTTCCCCAGAGACTGGTCCTCACCACAGACATTTCCCCAGAGACTGGTCCTCACCACAGACATTTTCCCAGAGATTGGTCCTTACCACAGACATTTCCCTAGAGATCGGTCCTCACCACAGACATTTCCCCAGAGATAAGTTTTCTGACCACACATATCTCACAGACCAGTCATCTCCTCACTCAAATCTCACAAATGCCAGTTCACCACACATCCCTAACAGCTTCGTGCCTAGAAACAAGGGAGTGCCTATTTGACCATGTTCTTAGTGCACTTGTTTCCATGGCTTGGCACACACGCTGTCTGGAAGTGACAGGTTTGATACCCGGCACGGTAACTATAGATTTAGATTTTATGTTATTCTATCTTTCTAATTCTTTCTATAAGTGCCAATCATTAATTTTCTGTTACTTTATTATTATATAATATTTAACTGCCTCAACTCCCCCCCCCCACCCCCATTTATTTATGTGATCATTGGGAAAAGGTGTTGGGATGGGGGGGGGGGGGGGGGGGGGAGTGTTTTTAATGAACCGTGATGTCATTGCAGTGTGTGAGTAGACTCTGGAGGCTTGAACCTATCAATTGTGTTTATCTCAGCTCAACTTTTCTCTTTCATTTCGCAAAGGACTTAATCAGTTGCAAACAACAAGGGAGTTTAGCATGCAACAAGGGCGATAATTGTAATGCGAAAGCAAACATAAGCACAAAATAAACATGCTTTATAGGAGCAACTTCACAAAGCAGTAGATACAAGTTTCATTAGTTTACTTCATAGAAGATACAAGTTTCATTAGTTTATTTCACAGAAGATACAAGTTTCATTAGTTTACTTCATAGAAGATACAAGTTTCATTAGTTTACTTCATAGAAGATACAAGTTTCATTAGTTTACTTCATAGAAGATACAAGTTTTATTAGTTATCTGCATAGAAGATACAAGTTTCATTAGTTTACTTCATAGAAGATACAAGTTTTATTAGTTATCTGCATAGAAGATACAAGTTTCATTAGTTTACTTCATAGAAGTTACAAGTTTCCTAAGTTTACTTCATTAAAGATACAGGTTTAATTAGTTTACCTCATAGAAGATACAAGTTTCATTAGTTTACTTTATAGAAGATACAAGTTTAATTAGTTTACTTCATTAAAGATACAAGTTTAATTAGTTTACTTCATTAAAGATACAAGTTTCATTAGTTTACCTCATAGAAGATACAAGTTTCATTAGTTTACCTCATAGAAGATACAAGTTTCATTAGTTTACCTCATAGAAGATACAAGTTTCATTAGTTTACTTTATAGAAGATACAAGTTTAATTAGTTTACTTCATTAAAGATACAAGTTTAATTAGTTTACTTCATTAAAGATACAAGTTTCATTAGTTTACTTCATTAAAGATACAGGTTTCCTAAGTTTACTTCATTAAAGATACAGGTTTAATTAGTTTACTTCATTAAAGATACAAGTTTCATTAGTTTACCTCATAGAAGATACAAGTTTCATTAGTTTACTTGATAGAAATACAAGTTTCATTAGTTTACTTCATTAAAGATACAGGTTTCCTAAGTTTACTTCATTAAAGATACAGGTTTAATTAGTTTACTTCATTAAAGATACAAGTTTCATTAGTTTACCTCATAGAAGATACAAGTTTCATTAGTTTACTTGATAGAAATACAAGTTTCATTAGTTTACTTCATTAAAGATACAGGTTTCCTAAGTTTACTTCATTAAAGATACAGGTTTAATTAGTTTACTTCATTAAAGATACAAGTTTCATTAGTTTACCTCATAGAAGATACAAGTTTCATTAGTTTACTTGATAGAAATACAAGTTTCATTAGTTTACTTCATTAAAGATACAGGTTTCCTAAGTTTACTTCATTAAAGATACAGGTTTAATTAGTTTACTTCATTAAAGATACAAGTTTCATTAGTTTACCTCATAGAAGATACAAGTTTCATTAGTTTACTTGATAGAAATACAAGTTTCATTAGTTTACTTCATAGAAGATACAAGTTTCATTAGTTTACTTTATAGAAGATACAAGTTTCATTAGTTTACTTCATTAAAGATACAAGTTTCATTAGTTTACTTCATTAAAGTACAAGTTTCATTAGTTTACTTCATTAAAGATACAAGTTTCATTAGTTTACTTCATTAAAGATACAAGTTTAATTAGTTTACTTCATTAAAGATACAAGTTTCATTAGTTTACCTCATTAAAGATACAAGTTTCATTAGTTTACTTCATTAAAGATACAAGTTTCATTAGTTTACTTTATTAAAGATACAAGTTTCATTAGTTTACCTCATAGAAGATACAAGTTTCATTAGTTTACTTGATAGAAATACAAGTTTCATTAGTTTACTTCATAGAAGATACAAGTTTCATTAGTTTACTTTATAGAAGATACAAGTTTCATTAGTTTACTTCATTAAAGATACAAGTTTCATTAGTTTACTTCATTAAAGATACAAGTTTCATTAGTTTACTTCATTAAAGATACAAGTTTCATTAGTTTACTTCATTAAAGATACAAGTTTCATTAGTTTACTTCATTAAAGATACAAGTTTCCTTAGTTTACTTCATTAAAGATACAAGTTTCATTAGTTTACTTCATTAAAGATACAAGTTTCATTAGTTTACTTTATAGAAGATACAAGTTTCATTAGTTTACTTCATTAAAGATACAAGTTTCATTAGTTTACTTCATTAAAGATACAAGTTTCATTAGTTTACTTCATTAAAGATACAAGTTTCCTTAGTTTACTTCATTAAAGATACAGGTTTAATTAGTTTACTTCATTAAAGATACAAGTTTCATTAGTTTACCTCATAGAAGATACAAGTTTAATTAGTTCACTTCATAGAAGATACAAGTTTAATTAGTTCACTTCATAGAAGATACAAGTTTCATTAGTTTACTATATAGAAACAGTAATAAACATAACATATGTAAAGATGTTCAGATAAATATACTTGATACGAATTTCTCACTGACAGACTAAACATACTTGATACGAATTTCTCACTGACAGACTAAACATACTTGATACGACTTTCTCACTGACAGACTAAACATACTTGATACGAATTTCTCACTGACAGACTAAACATACTTGATACGACTTTCTTACTGACAGACTAAACATACTTGAAACGACTTTCTCACTGACAGACTAAACATACTTGAAACGACTTTTTCACTGACAGACTAAACATACTTGATACGAATTTCTCACTGACAGACTAAACATACTTGATACGACTTTCTTACTGACAGACTAAACATACTTGATACGACTTTCTCACTGAGAGACTAAATATACTTGATACGACTTTCTCACTGAGAGACTAAACATACTTGATACGACTTTCTCACTGACAGACTAAACATACTTGATACGACTTTCTCACTGAGAGACTAAACATACTTGATACGACTTTCTCACTGACAGACTAAACATACTTGATACGACTTTCTCACTGACAGACTAAACATACTTGATACGACTTTTTCACTGACAGACTAAACATACTTGATACGACTTTCTCACTGACAGACTAAACATACTTAATACGACTGTCTCACTGACAGACTAAACATACTTGATACGACTTTCTTACTGACAGACTAAACATACTTGAAACGACTTTCTCACTGACAGACTAAACATACTTGAAACGACTTTTTCACTGACAGACTAAACATACTTGATACGAATTTCTCACTGACAGACTAAACATACTTGATACGACTTTCTTACTGACAGACTAAACATACTTGATACGACTTTCTCACTGAGAGACTAAATATACTTCACAGACTAAACATACTTGATACGACTTTCTCACTGACAGACTAAACATACTTGATACGACTTTTTCACTGACAGACTAAACATACTTGATACGACTTTCTCACTGACAGACTAAACATACTTAATACGACTGTCTCACTGACAGACTAAACATACTTGATACGACTTTCTCACTGAGAGACTAAACATACTTGATACGACTTTCCCACTGACAGACTAAACATACTTGATACGACTATCTCACTGACAGACTAAACATACTTGATAAATAAACTGACTGCCTCATGTGTTCATTGGTTCCGCTCCTGGCTGCTACTTGAGAAGTGAGGATATCCTTGCGATTTTAAAAGTTACATCTTGATGTCAGTCCAACAAGACGCTGTTGATGGAGTATTCCACAAATCGACGACAGAGTTGTTAAACCGCACTGTGTCAGTTTGTTTGGGTTCTCTTCATAATTTACACATGGTTAACCCTTAATAGCATGTTTAAATGGGAGCTTCCTTCGAAGTCGGAGTACACGTGATTGAAAGGCAAGGAACCAACAATCTGCATGTAAATAAGCCAGACCTGTGAAACGGACGTGCACGCATTACTCAGTTTCTGGAACAGTACTAGTGTCTGGAAGTGGATGGACAAACTGGATTTTCCGTTGAAGTTTACAGCCGGTAAACGCGAAGAAGAAGAATAAAACCACGACACAGCTGCTGCACAAATGAAAGGCATTCCACATGAAACACAGCTCACAGGGCTGCACCAAGCACTGACCTCAGTAGCTCAGGCAATAAAACTGTAGAATTCCGTTCATATGTGGAAGATGCATTAGCAAAGCGCTCTCCGAAGCGAATATAACTTCGAAGCAAAACATTCTGCCATGCCTAGTCCTCTACTGAAGACCAGGGGCATTTATGGCGATGTGTTATAGTCAACACAATTCGAACACAAGCCAGTTTGCTAGCCATAACTCTTAGGAAGTGTAGATACAGATAGTTTAATATTTGGAGACAACACAGGTTGTCTTTCAGAGAAATGACAGTTAGTGTTAACGACCGGTGGCTCCCGCATGGCAGTGTGACGACAGTTAACGTAAACGACCGGTGGCTCCCGCATGGCAGTGTGACGACAGTTAACGACCAGTGGCTCCCGCATGACAGTCTGACGACAGTTAACGACTGGTGGCTCCCGCATGGCAGTCTGACGACAGTTAACGACCGGTGACTCCCGCATGACAGTGTGACGACAGTTAACGTAAACGACCGGTGGCTCCCGCATGGCAGTGTGACGACAGTTAACGACCAGTGGCTCCGGCATGGCAGTGTGACGACAGTTAACGACCAGTGGCTCCCGCATGGCAGTGTGACGACAGTTAACGACCAGTGGCTCCCGCATGGCAGTGTGACGACAGTTAACGACCAGTGGCTCCCGCATGACAGTGTGACGACAGTTAACGACCGGTGGCTCCCGCATGACAGTGTGACGACAGTTAACGACCAGTGGCTCCCGCATGGCAGTGTGACGACAGTTAACGACCAGTGGCTCCTGCATGACAGTGTGACGACAGTTAACGACCAGTGGCTCCCGCATGGCAGTGTGACTACAGTTAACGACTGGTGGCTCCCGCATGGCAGTCTGACGACAGTTAATGACCGGTGACTCCCGCATGACAGTCTGACGACAGTTAACGTTAACGACCGGTGGCTCTGTTGTGTTTTGTCCAGTGTACTGTGTCCAGTGTACTGTGTCGAGTGTGTTGTTTCAGTTGTGTTTTGTCTAGTTTACTGTGTCAACTGTACTGTATCGTGTGTGTTTGTAAAATGTGTTATGTTCCATGTGTTGTGTAGAGTGTGTTGTATCCAGTGCGTTGTACAGTGACACAGAACTCATACACAGCGACGTATAACACATTGAGCGACGGAGAAAACACACAATAATGTAGAGCACACAGTAAAGTGGGACATACATAGTGACATAAAATACACACAGTGACGAAGAACTCACACAGTTATATAGAACAGAAACAGTGATGTAGAACACACACAGTGATGTAGAACACACACAGTGATGTAGAACACACACAGTGATGTAGAAAACACACAGTGATGTAGAACACACACAGTGATGTAGAACACACACAGTGATGTGAAACACACACAGTGAGGTAGAACACACACAGTGATAAAACACACACAGTGATGTAGAACACGTACAGTGATGTAGAACACACACAGTGAAGTAGAACACACACACAGTGAGGTAGAACAGACACAGTGATGTAGAACAGACACGATGATGTAGAACAGACACGGTGATGTAGAACACACACAGTGATGTAGAACACACACAGTGATGTAGAACACACACAGTGATGTAGAACAGACACAGTGATATAGAACACACACAGTGATGTAGAACACACACAGTGATGTAGAACACACACAGTGATGTAGAACACACACAGTGATGTAGAACACACACTAATGTAGAACACACACAGTGATGTAGAACAGACACAGTGATGTAGAACAGACACAGTAATGTAGAACAGACACAGTGATGTAGAACATACACAGTGATGTAGAACACACACAGTGATGTAGAACACACACAGTGATGTATAGAACACACACAGTGATGTAGAACACACACAGTGATGTAGAACACACACAGTGATGTAGAACACACACAGTGATGTAGAACACACACAGTGATGTAGAAAAGACACAGTGATGTAGAACACACACAGTGATGTAGAACAGACACAGTAATGTAGAACAGACACAGTGATGTAGAACATACACAGTGATGTAGAACACACACAGTGATGTAGAACACACACAGTGATGTATAGAACACACACAGTGATGTAGAACACACACAGTGATGTAGAACACACACAGTGATGTAGAACACACACAGTGATGTAGAACACACACAGTGATGTAGAAAAGACACAGTGATGTAGAACACACACAGTGATGTAGAAAAGACACAGTGATGTAGAACAGACACAGTGATGTAGAGCAGACACAGTGATGTAGAACACACAGTGATGTAGAACACACACAGTGATGTAGAGCAGACACAGTGATGTAGAAAACACACAGTGATGTAGAACACACACAGCGATGTAGAACACACACACAGTGATGTAGAACACACACAGTGATGTAGAACATACACAGTGATGTAGATCACACACAGTGATGTAGAACACACACAGTGATGTAGAACACACACAGTGATGTAGAACACACACAGTGATGTAAAACACACACAGTGATGTAGAACACACACAGTGATGTAGAATACGCACAGTGATGTAGAACACACACAGTGATGTAGAACACACACAGTGATGTAGAACACACACAGTGATATAGAACACACACAGTGATGTAGAACAGACGACAATTATTGCATCAGTTTAGAGGGTGCAGCTACAGTACGTGGGTTTCCGTTACATTATGGGTAAAAAGTGGGTTAGAGACGTGGGTTAGTGAAGTGGGTTAGAGAAGTGGGTTAGTGAAGTTTGTTATCAAAGTGGGTTAGTGAAGTGGGTTATTGAAGTCGATTGGTAAAGGGGCGTAGTGAAGTGGGCTAGAGAAGTGGGCTAGAGAAGTGGGTTAGTGAAGTGGGCTAGAGAAGTGGGTTAGTGAAGTGGGTTATTGAAGTCGGTTGGTAAAGGGGCGTAGTGAAGTTGGCTAGAGAAGTGGGCTAGAGAAGTGGGTTAGTGAAGTGGGCTAGAGAAGTGGGTTAGAGAAGTGGGCTAGATAAGTGGGTTAGTGAAGTGGGCTAGAGAAGTGGGTTAGTGAAGTGGGTTAGTTAAGTGGGCTAGAGAAGTAGGTTAGAGAAGTGGGTTAGTGAAGTGGGCTAGAGAAGTGGGTTAGAGAAGTGGGCTAGAGAAGTGGGTTAGTGAAGTGGGCTAGAGAAGTGGGTTAGTGAAGTGGGTTAGTGAAGTGGGCTAGAGAAGTGGGTTAGAGAAGTGGGTTAGTGAAGTGGGCTAGAGAAGTGGGTTAGAGAAGTGGGTTAGAGAATTGGGTTAGTGAAGTGGGCTAGAGAAGTGGGTTAGAGAAGTGGGTTAGAGAAGTGGGTTAGAGAAGTGGGTTAGAGAAGTAGGTTAGTGAAGTGGGCTAGAGAAGTGGGTTAGAGAAGTGGGCTAGAGAAGTGGGCTAGAGAAGTGGGTTAGAGAAGTGGGTTAGAGAAGTGGGTTAGTGAAGTGGGCTAGATAAGTGGGTTAGAGAAGTGGCCTAGAGAAGTGGGCTAGAGAAGTGGGTTAGTGAAGTGGGCTAGAGAAGTGGGTTAGAGAAGTGGGCTAGAGAAGTGGGTTAGTGAAGTGGGTTAGAGAAGTGGGTTAGAGAAGTGGGTTAGTGAAGTGGGTTAGTGAAGTGGGTTAGAGAAGTGGGTTAGAGAAGTGGGTTAGAGAAGTGGGTTAGTGAAGTGGGCTAGAGAAGTGGGTTAGAGAAGTGGGTTAGAGAAGTGGGTTAGAGAAGTGGGTTAGAGAAGTGGGTTAGAGAAGTGTGTTAGTGAAGTGGGCTAGAGAAGTGGGTTAGAGAAGTGGGTTAGAGAAGTGGGTTAGTGAAGTGGGTTAGATAAATCAGTTATAAAAAAATCTGTTAAGAACAATGGTTAATGGATGCATTTACCGCCACCTCAAAACAAGGAAACAAAAAGCTTAAAAAAAAAAGAAGAAATAAACAGTTTAGAAAGTAATCGCACAAATGTACTGTACCGGATACTTCCGTCTCCATATCCTGGGGAGCTAAAACAAGAAAGACAACAAGTCAAGAAAAGAACAAACAAATGGAAACAAACATCTAGAGTAAACATGACGACTGGACACACTTGTTTAGCTCTTAGCCAGGCCACGAAACAATTGTACTTCTTTTGGTGGGATAAGGTTGTCAACAGTTGGAGGTATATTGGCTGAGATTTGACGACACCAAGAGCTGCATTTGTTGACTCTTTGCTTTGCAGTTTTACGCTCAGCAGTTCGCCAGTACATGCTGAGTATCGATACTAATGTTGCAAAGCTGGCTGATCCCACATCGCCCGCAGCTGGAAATGAACCGCGTACCACGGAATTACGAAAGGCGTTCACAACATCTCTAACACGGTTGTGTTTCAGGTAATGCAACTTTGTCGAGAAGACAGCTCAGAAAAGATCAAAGCGGAGGATAACAGATTTGTAATGATCTACCTGTCAGAATGAAAACACCTACGTGTATGTGTGTGTGAGTGTGTGTGTGTGTGTTTTTGACTGTCTGACCCATCCTGTGAAGACACTAGACCGCTGACGTTGACACCAACTAGCGGTTGATCAACTGTTGCTGTAAAACAACCACAATAGACAGACTCAGTCTATACAAGATTCTCCAACAGCGATGCAACAACACCCATTATCTCTAGCTCTCACAACAAATGCAGGAACAGCAAACACCTAGCAGTATCAGATAATGGCGACATTTCACTGTGTGAATCAAAAAGAGTTCTACCTCGTTGAATTGTGAGGTTGCCAGTTATGACATTTTAGAATCCTGTCATCAGTTTAAATTGTGCTGACAGAACTCACACTCAATGCCAATTATCTAGTATTTCCTGGACACACGCATATAGAAATACACACATAAACACACACATGCACATAAACACAACAAGACACTCAAAGAGAGAGAGAGAGAGAGAGAGAGAGAGAGAGAGAGAGAGAGAGAGAGAGAGAGAGAGAGAGAGAGAGAGAGAGAGAAGGGGTAGGGTGTGATGGGGGGGGGGGGGGTAGGACATAATGACAGTCCATATACAAGGAAAACATACATAGCTGAACTTGTCTCTGACATGCCCACGTTTTCAACTACTAGGGCCCGAAATGATTGGAAGAGAGCCATTATTTTATCGTGTAAGTCCCTCAGACCGGAACACGGTCTCTGAGAGTCACGCGACCGCGCCTCTATACTTTCGGCGGCTAATGGCCAGTCATCTGTGTCGGCGGTGCGTGCCGCCTCTTGCTGGCCGCCGCCGTCGCCGCTCCGCTCCCTCTCAGGTAATTATCCCTGATTGGACAGAAGCTTATTAATTATCAGCTAAAGGGACATTTGATGTCAATCAGTTAGTAAATCCATAAGTCAGTGAATCCATCAGTCAGTATATCTGTCAGTGAATCCATCTATAATTAAATCTGTCAGTTAATCCATTAGTCAGGAAATAATTCAGTCAGTGAATCCATCACTCAGCGAATCAGTCAGTCAGTAATCCATTAATCAATAAAAAAAAGTCAGTCAATAAATTAATCAGTCTGTAAATCAGTCAGTGTATCTATCAATAAAAAAATCAGTGAACCCATCAGCCAGTAAATCAGTGAACAAATCAGTCAGTAAACCAGTCAGTGAAGTGAAGTGTAGAAGAATAGGCCAGAGCTCACAAAGTGACATCCAGCACAGAGATGACACAAACACAAAGTTACATCCAGCACAGAGATGACACAAACACAAAGTTACATCCAGCACAGAGATGACACAAACACAAAGTGACATCCAGCACAGAGATGACACAAACACAAAGTGACATCCAGCACAGAGATGACACAAACACAAAGTGACATCCAGCACAGAGATGACACAAACACAAAGTTACATCCAGCACAGAGATGACACAAACACAAAGTTACATACAGCACAGAGATGACACAAACACAAAGTGACATCCAGCACAGAGATGACACAAACACAAAGTTACATCCAGCACAGAGATGACACAAACACAAAGTTACATACAGCACAGAGATGACACAAACACAAAGTGACATCCAGCACAGAGATGACACAAACACAAAGTGACATCCAGCACAGAGATGACACAAACACAAAGTGACATCCAGCACAGAGATGACACAAACACAAAGTGACATCCAGCACAGAGATGACACAAACACAAAGTTACATACAGCACAGAGATGACACAAACACAAAGTGACATCCAGCACAGAGATGACACAAACACAAAGTGACATCCAGCACAGAGATGACACAAACACAAAGTGACATCCAGCACAGAGATGACACAAACACAAAGTGACATCCAGCACAGAGATGACACAAACACAAAGTGACATCCAGCACAGAGATGACACAAACACTCTGGAAACTATCCTCGAATTGTTGTCCTAGCGTCAGCAGACGACAAACTCATAACTGCCCAAGTTTGTTCCAGCCGCTAAAGAAAAATATACACATATCTGGAAAATACATAAATGTGGAGCTGCATTTACTTCTCCCAGGGGATGAACTGCCATCCCAGTTTTATCTCCAACCGCCCAGTTATTGTCCCTGATACTCCACAGGGGGTATTTATTCCCCCAGCCGACACCTGTAGTCATTCTGCTGAGAAACTACCGTCTCGGCTGTTTCGAGATACCAGCTAAGTGATTTTGTGTATCTGTGTAGTATTGTTTGATTTGTATGTGCTGAGGAAGGCTTTATAGCCGCAACGTTCACGTTTTGTTTGTATCTGTTATATTATGAATCTTTCTAATATACTTTTCGTTCGGTTTTAAATCTTTTCTTGCATCTGCTTATGCCAATCGACTTATTAATGAACATGATTGCACAAGCCAAACACTTCTTCTTCTTCTTCACTTCCTCTTTTACCGCTGTGGGTGTCGAGGGAGATATAAGGTTCTGTTTCTAGCTCTTCTGGCCGCCTTGACCATAGGCACATGGTGCTGTTGTAGAGTTTCTCTGATGTTATCCTTCCATCTTGTTCTTGGTCTACCTCGTGCTCTACGTCCTTCTTCTCTTTCCATGTATGCTTTGTATGGTATGGTGTCACAAGGCATTCTCTTTAAGTGGGCAAACCATTTCCCTGCCAAACACTAACTACAGTAAAGTAAGCGATGAAAATATATATATATATAAATGATGAAACAGACGCAACATATGTTCCGTACTTACAGATGAATCATGATCCTCCCTCTTTAAATGTTCGGCGATGAAGGTCACAGATTCTATGGCTTCCATAATCTCCTTGGAGTAGGGTTTCCTCCTGAGAGTGGTGCCGCCCCGCTCCTCTATGTAATCCATGGAGAGTAACCCTTCCATGGTGTGTGGTCTCCGACCCCTGGAGGTCATGCTGTCATCATAGTGATAGCCGCCACGCAGTCGCGAGGAGATGTCTGAGGCGTTGCATAGTTCAAGCCCGTTACACGTCCGTATGACCACTCTCCTGGGCGGCTTGGTCTCCGGCTCCTCGTGGGGCCTGCGCATAATAAGCAGGCGAGGTAGGATGTTTAGGAACACACGTCGTACCCAGGGAGACATACTGTGTGTGGCCGGCGAGCGGAAGTGGACATTGAGAACGATCACTGTGACAATAATCGACAGGGTGACCAGTATCATGGTGAAGAGCAGATATTTGCCGATGAGCGGCACTACGATGGAAGTCGGCGGGATGATCTCCGCCAGCAGCAGAAAGAACACGGTCAACGACAGCAGGATCGATATACACAGAGTGATCTTCTCGCCCGAGTCCGAGGGCAAGTAGAAGACCAGCACTGTCAGACAGGAGATGGCTACACAGGGAATGATGAGGTTGACAGTGTGGAAGAGCGTCTTCCTCCTCATGGTGACGCTGAAGGTGATGTCTGGGTAGCGTTCCGTGCAGCACGGGTACTCGCGGACGTTCTTCACGGCGTCCACTTCCAGGATGTCCCACTCCACACTGGGGTAGAAGTCGCGGAGGTCAATGCCGTTCCTGATGGTGACGTTTGCTTGGTTGGTTTTAGCACAAGTGTGGACAAGGTCCACCTGGTCCCCGTCGTAGGTCCACGAGCCGAACTTCATCTTGCACCTGCAGATGGTCAGCAACATTTGCACATGTGGAGATATACATTCACAGACACTCATTTAAGTGTGTATGCGGACGCGCACGCCCACACACATACACATACATAAACATACACACTCATCTGTGCCAACGTGTCGGTTGTTCAAATGATAGAGCTATCTCGTGCAAAAGAGAGGTATGAGATTTACACATCCACAGCAGTGCTAAGAGTTGAGAAAAGTACACAGCTGTGTGTTTATATATATATATATATATATATATATATATATATATATATATATATATATATATATATATACTAGCTGTACCCGGCCACGCGTTGCTGTGGCGTAATTTGGCTACATGGAAAATAGAGAACATAGACATGTGTCTTCGCTTCACGCTACCGATGTACAGTGCAACAGCTAAACCACAGCTAATAAAACTATGAGTGGGTAAGGCAGTTACTGTAACTTAAATCTATCTCAGTAAACAGTTTATTGTAACCACCCATCCCCCAGTTCACATACTACTTTCTCCTTCATCGAAGTAGTTGGAAAAATTACCCTAATGAAAAGCAATGAAAAGAGGAAAAATGCACCATAATTACGAAATGAGCACATTTGCTAATTGCTGTAAACAACCCTGCACGCGTTGCTACAATAGAAAGTGAATTGAAAGGAAAATCGCTTTAACAAAATGTAATTATATTGGATCATTGTGCCGGTAATTTAACTTTAAAAATGTGTTTACTGAAGTGTTTTTGGGTAAACAATGTTCTTTGTTCTTCCGTCTGGCGCGTACACAAATAAATTATAAGGTTTTCCGACGCGTGAACAGGCAACATATAGCTGTCCATGTAAAAAGCATGGATGTTCCAAACGTTGTCCACACACTTGTAGGGATTGTCCCTGTGATTTGTTTATGGTCATTGCAAAGGCGAGTCGCACCGGAAACTGCAAGCGTCTGAAGTCAAATGGCATGTATGTTGGAATCATTGGGATGCGTGGCAAAAGTATATTCTCGCCCTTAAATTTCCCATTTAAAATTGTACCTTCGATGATATTGAGCATCAGCCTTTTCACTGAAAGCCTGGTACCATTGCAAAGACGTGGCGGATTGATGTTTCTGAGAAGAATGATGGGCACGCCAATTTTCACGGTTAAAATGTGGGGTGGCATGCCTGGCAAATCAAGTGAATTTAAGAACTCAGTTGGATAATTAACAATTTCGTCCTGATTCATTACAGTATCGATAGACTTATACGTTTTCACACCGCCTGGTAATTTGTCTTAGATGTTCGGATTTATGGCAACTCACGATCGAAAAGGTTGTTTGCAGATTGTTCTGGTGGAGCCAGTCCCACCTGAACCAGTGCTTTGTTAGTTATTGCCAAACATATGTCCTCAATGCAAACAAATGCCTCATTATATACATTTGGTATGAATTGAAGGTCCTGATCATGCTTCGTTTCACGCCAGGATGTCTTCACTCATGTAGTCTTTGTATTTTTCCCAAAGCTCTTTTGGAATGAATGGGAAGCAAGTTGTTAATATTATTTCAAATAATGTGCGTATTTGCTGTGGTCAAGCAGTATTCGAAGCATCGGCGAGTGAAGTGTCCCAATGTGCATCATTTTCAAGAAGATTTAATTCTTGGCAACCTTCACTGTAAGTAGCGCATACTTTACCATAATCTGTTCTCAAGTCCTGGAAGGATGCCGGTCCCCGTTTGTTGATTAAAAGCAATCTGCATTTTTGGGATGAACAGTGTACAGACGGCCTAAAATATCAGTAGAATATAAATTAAGATGTCCGTCAACCGCTTGACCTTGCTTGCAACGTTGAAACATTTTAGCTGATGCATTCCATGTGTAGTATATTGGCAGGTCAGAGTAAAGTAGTGTCTTTGCAAACATATCTCTACACAATGAGAAAAATCAGTTAACGTGGTTGGCGGTGGTAACAATGCTCGTGCATGTGCATTCTCTGTAGTAAAGTACACGCGCTGTCCATTGTCAAGGTGCACTGCCAAATGAACAACTGCTGGATGTCATTCATGAATTGGAAATGAGAAAATGCGCCATACCGCTTCATTGCTACTAATGTAGCGCCCCAGCTGATATTGCTTGATTTCATCGATAGATGCAGCTGCATGTCCCACTCCAAAGACTGCCATATCGCCTCCTTTGTTGACATATTTGCAAATGTACTTATGTTTGCCAAGAAATGTGTCGACTGGCCTGTGTCACCTACTACCAATGATGATAATGGTTCGGGTGGTGAATGTAATACTGGCCATTTAACTTTTCCACCAGCGCAGCACACACCCGGCATGTCATTCTTAAATTTGGAGGCACTGCAATGTACGCACAATTTATCCATTTTGCCAATAAGCGAGAGTAGATGAAGACTGTGTACAACATCAGAAGCTTTGGGAAATCATGAGGAATATGGGCTTTCCATCACATATAGTGCAGCTCATTAAAATGCTCTATCAAGACCAACAAGCAGCAGTCAGAATAGATGGAGAGACATCAGACTGGTTTGGCATCAAGCAAGGAGTCCGTCAGGGATGTGTGCTGTCACCGTATTTGTTCAACCTGTACGCCGAAAATATAATGAGAAATGTAAGAGATGATATAAACAAGGAACAATATGATGCCCTAAACATCGGTGGTAATGAAATACCAGAAATTCGTTATGCTGATGATACAGTATTACTATCAACATCACAAAATGGTTTAGAAAACTTATTAACCTCACTCCAAAGAAATAGTGAAAATCATAACTTATTTCTTAACATAGCAAAAACAAAGATAATGCATACAAACAAAACTGCCATGGAGAAGGAAATATATGTTAATGAGGAAAGATTGGAAGTGGTGGAAAATTTCGAATATCTTGGGTCACTGGTTACCAACAATGGTGACACAATGAAAGAAATTAAACGGCGACTATCAATTGCTCTTCAAAGACTAAAACAACTGAATAAATTATGGAATTGTACAGATAGAATTACAAAGGTCAGATTTTTAAGAGCATGCATCTTTCCCATTGCAACATACGCCTGTGAGACCTGGACACTTACTAAACAAGCGGAACAGCGCATAAATGCATTTGAATATAAATGTTACAGACAGGTTCTAAGAATATCTTGGGTAAAGAAAAGAACAAATGCATCCATACTTCAAGAGCTGAATATTGAAGAGGGTTGGCTAGTAAAGACAATAAAACAAAGAAAATTGAAATATTTTGGTCACTTGAAACGTCATGGAAGTCTAGAGAGAACAATAATGGAGGGGTATATGCCTGGGAAGAGAGGAAGAGGAAGGCCAAGGAGAAGATGGGTGCAGGATGTGGCAGATGATCTCCAGATGGGTGTATCAGACGCAGGACATCTTGCTCAGGATAGGAAGGTTTTCCAGAGGGTTGTTATGGCAGCGAGGTTCCGCGAGGGACATGCTACTGAATGAATGAATGAATGAGATGAAGACCAATCACAATTGCTGGTGTAATGGAATGCACCAAGATTCAAATCAACATGCAGTGTTCGCCTGGATAAAGTAGTGCGCATTTGAACGTTTTCGAGTCTTGCTTTCCGTTGCTGGTCTGATTGAGATGAATGGGCATCAGCAGTGCGTTCTCGAATGGTTTCCAGTCTTACCCCACGTTGCTCGTCTCTTTCTGAAGCAAATAATGCCATTCTCTTGCGTGTTTTATGAGTAGATGGGCCAATCGCTTGTCGTTTGGGAAGCATAACTGCGAATTTTGTGAGCGCTGATCATCAATAGCTTGTTTGTCCTCACGCACTGAATGAAATGTGACTTGAAGTATCACTGAAATAAATGAAAATATGAGCATGAGATAACAATCTATTTTGACTCAAGAGGAAATGCATAGAAACTGGGTAGCAAATAGTAAGAAAAGAAGGAATATAAGACAATATGAGAACGCCAACAGATAATGTGCATACATTTATCATTGTGAGATTTAAGGAGTGGTCCACACATGCATTTAAAGTTAAAAAAATGTACATAATGGCTGATGTCACTGTAAGAAATGCGCTCACCTGTTGAGATATTTCTAGATTCTAACACTGACCTGAGAAGAATGTCGTGTAAATTTATATAATTCGTTTGAATAACAGAAGAAAGCCAACCAAAACTGTGTACTACTTGTGGTACTCATGGGTATCGACTATCGGGTATGAGAAAGACGATAATAGTTAATGATATTGTGTATACATTTATCATTGCGGGATTTAAAAAGTGGTCCACATTTGTTTAAAATTAAACAAAAATGATAATGTGTATACATTTATTATTGCTGGATTTAAGAAGTGGTCCACATTTGTTTAAAATTAAACAAAAAACATGTACATACTGACTAATGTTACTTAAATAAATGCTCTTACCTTTTTATATATTTCTTGATAACACAACTAAAAACCGATAGACATTTTCATTGCGGGCGGATGTGACGATAGAGCGTCACTACTGCGCATGTACGGTAAATCGATCCCACGTAACGTGGCTATAATTAGAAATCACTAAAGTTATAAATATTAGTTGCGAATATTATGGCTTAAATTGTGGTCACCTATTTCTAACAGTGACAGGTTGAATTTCAAACCACGATGGTTCAAAATCCAGTATCAAAACAAACATATCTTGAAAATTTCAGCTAAATCGGTTCAGTAGTTTCTGAGTCTATAGGGGGCAAACAAACACACAAACGTTGATATATATATATATATATATATATATATATATATATATATATATATATATATATATATATATATATATATATATATATATATATATGACTAACCTAGTCTTTGGCTCTGTTTTATCAGAACTCATCATCAGCAAGTGCCATGTGCACAAGTATTTTTGGTGATGATTGGCATCAGTACAAACCTCGCGTCAGGTGCAGTCTCTGAGATCATCTGGCGGTTGCCACGGACATCCTGGCATGTTAGGATTTAGCTCAAACATCGGTCAAGAGTGACCATCACTT